TGTAATATAGGCCAGGTGCAGCAGCTCATGCCTATAATCCAACACTTTGGGAGGTCAAAGCAGGCAGATATGGGAGTTAGACCAGCCTGGCCAACATGGTGAGACCTCATCTCTACAAAATACAAAAAAGTTAGCCAGGGCCGGGCGTGGTGGCTCACACCTGTAATCCCAGCACTTTGGGAGGCTCAGGTGGGCAGATCATGAGGTCAAAAGATTGAGACCATCCTGGCCAACATGGTGAAACCCATCTCTACTAAAAATACAAAAATTAGCTGGGCATGGTGGCACACACCTGTGGTCCCAGCTACTCGGGAGGCTGAGGCGGAAGAATCACTTGAACCCAGGAGGCAGAGGTTGCAGTGAGCCAAGATTGCACCACTGCACTCCAACCTGGTGACAGAGCAAGACTCCGTCTCAAAAAAGATAAGTTAGCCAGGTGAGTTGGCAAATGCCTGTAATCTCAGCTACTCGAGTAGCTTAGGCAGGAGAATCTCTGAACCTGGGAGGCAGAGGTTGCAATGAGCTGAGATAGTGGCCACGGCACGCCAGCCTGAGCAACAGAATGAGACCATCTCAAACAACAAGAACAACAACAACAAACATCTGAACTGAACCAAGACCCTGTAGCCTCAAAGGGGATTTGGCTGTCAACCAGTCCTTCACTGAAGCCTCCAGAATCCCAAAGTGTGCTCTTAGTAAAACCAGAGCCTGTCTGATCGGTTCCTCTGACGCTCAAGTTCTCTGCTCATTGTTGCTTTTTTTCTTTCTTTTTCTAAGTTCCGGAAAAGGAAAATTAGAGACTTCGGGTAGGAGCCCCCTACCCCACAGAGAACTCCAGCCGTGATCACTCTTTGATTACTAGTGACAGAGAAGTTATCTCACAAGGCCACATACTGCATTTTTTAGACATATCTGGCAACTTAGATTTAAACATTTTAAAACATACATGTGTGCACACACACAATCCCAAAACCCTTCTTGTTTGAATTGAAATGTGCTGCAATTTTTGCTCACTAATTCTAGTACTGCCCTACGTGGCCTCCCATAATTAGTTTAGTCAATTCACTAATTGGGTCTCAGGTGCTGAGGCACTTGAGGTGGACTTCTTGAACTCCACATTCTTCCATGGGGATCCTGAGATCTACTGAGTCACGGATGTGACTACATCAACATTTGCCAAAAAACATTCCATTGGAAATTAATCCTCAGAAAGGCCTTATGAAAACAGAACGCTGAGCTCAGATTAGTTGGGGAACTGCTATATGGTCTTCTGGTCTTTATCACATCTCATTCCCTAGAAATCTTTATGAAAACAGAGTTCTGAGCTCAAGTAAGTTGGGGAGATGTTACATGCTCTCTGGTCTGTGTCACATCTCACACTAGCAGAGAAGACTCTTGAGGTCCTGAAGCATTAAAAACCCTGTTTCACTCTGTCAGTGTTTTCAAGACTGATCTGATTTAGAATCCTTTTTTCCAAAGAGTGCCTCTGAATATTTAACAGAAGAATGTCCCCCAGTACAGGACATAGGCCAGTTAAGTTAGCTGTAAGCATCTTCTAAAACTGCACTGTCTAATCTGATAGCCACTAGCACCTGGGACTACTGAGCACTTGAAATGTGGCTAGTTAAAACTCAGATGTGCTGTAAGTGTAAAATATACACTGGATTTCAGATTCTTAGTACAAGAATAAATGAAATATGAATACTTTTTATACTGATATATGTTGAAATACTGGGTTAAAATTTGTTATTAAAATTAATCTTATCTATTTACTTTTACTTTTTAAAATGTGGCTACTTAAGGCCAGGCACAATGGCTCACATCTGTAATCTCAGCATTTTGGGAGGCTGAGGCAGGTGGATCGCCTGAGCTCAGAAGTTTCAGACCAGCCTGGGCAACATGATGAAATGCCATCTCTACCAAAAATACAAAAAATTAGCCGGTTGTGGCAGTGTGCACCTGTGGTCCCAGCTACTTGGAAGCTGAGGTGGGAGAATCGCTTGAACCTGGGAGACAGAGGCTACTAGAAAATTGATTTTTTTTTTTTTTTTTTTTTAAGACACAGGGTCTCACTCTGTCATCCAGGCTGGAGTGCACTGGCATGATCAAGGCTCACGGCAGTCTCAACCTCTCAGGCTCAAGCAATTTTCCCATCCCAGCCTCAAATTTGGGACTACAAATGCATGCCATCATGCCTGGCTAACATTTGTATTTTTGTAGAGACAGGATTTCACCATGTTGCCCAGGGTGGTCTTGAACTCCTGGCTCAAGTGATCCACTCATCTTGGCCTCCCAAAGTGCTGGGATTACAGGCATGAGCCACTGCACGCAACCCCCAAATTTATAATTACCCATGTGGCATGCATTGTGTTTTCACTGGAGAGTGCTGCCTCAGTGTTCTGTGCTGCTGGGGAAGGCAGTGTTGGGCTATATAGGGGAATGTGAGAGGGAGGGGGTGGGTAGCTCAGTTTAGGAAGTATAAGGGAACTGTGGGATTCACTGGAAGGGCAGCTCAGGAAGCCTAGGAGGGGGTGGTCAGGAAGTGGTGACTAAGCTGAGACCTGAAAGATGAGAAGGAGTTAGCGGGGGAAGGCAGAGAAAACAGCATGGGTCAAAGCCTTGAAGTGAAAGAGGAACTGTATGTATTCCAGGACATCCAAGGCTTCAGGGGCAGAGGGTGGACAGTGACCCAACCTGACACGACAGAGGGCAGCAAGGGCCAAGACTTTTAGGGTGAGGCAAGCCTCTGCAACGAGTTTATCCTGAGGGCACTGCAAAGCCATGAAAGAGTTTTCAGCCAGTTGAGACTAGACAGATTCGCATTTTAGAAAGATTGCCCCTGACATTTGAGTGAAGTATGGATGGATGGAGGGATAAACTGGAGACAGAGGAGCCTTTACGGAAGCTGAAGTCATCTCGGAGGAAGATGATAAAAGTCTGGACTATGCTACAAGCCTTTGAATTGAAGAAAACTAATGTCTAGGAAATAGACTTGGAGTGGGGACCACTGATTGCAGGCTATCTGGAGATAGAAATAAGGGAAAGGGTGGAGTCAAGGTTAATATCTGGGGTTCTGAATACTAAGGCTATGATGGGAGACCAAAAATCTATGGGAGGGGAAGAGGATGAGTTCAAGGTGACTTTGAAAAGCATGCGGAGTATGCCAGTGGCGATGCCTGAGACACAGTAGATAGCCAGGTTTAGGGGCTGGAAGGAGATACAGTTGGGTAGGAAATGTCTCCCCTATGAGCCTTAGGTTCCTTATCTGCAAAATGCGGATGTAATCTACTTCCCAGAGCTAGTGTGATGATTAGATTAGGTAACACTGATGGCAGCAATGGCCTGTCCAGAGCGGCCACTGCCATGATGCAGGCTGCAGTTGGGGAGGCGCTCCACAGAGCCCGCAGGAGCTGGGAACAGGCGGAAGCCCTGCCCTCTTCTGAGTTGACAGGGTGGGAGTTTCATGCTCCCTGGGTACAGCTGCAGCTGCCCAAGCTGGGGCTTCAGACCAGCAACTCTGCACTCTTGCAGGCCCAGGAAGGCCGCCCTGCCCCTGCAAGCTCAGAAATGCCTGCTTCTGCTGCCTGATCTCTCCCTGCTCCTGGTGCCAGCCTTGATCTCAGAGCAAAGTTGAGGCTGATCCAGGGCACTGTTGCAACCCAGCTGGGTGTTTGCTTGCTTGGGGCAGCACTGACATACCAGCCCCCTGCCATTTGGTCCCTTCAGACTTTGGGGGCTGACTAATATGGGAGGGGAGCCAAGGAAGGACTGAGGGCAGCTCGGCACTGGCCCAGGTTCCCCTCTGCCTGAACAGCCTGGGTGCCATGAACAGTAGCAGGAGGCAGACAGGCTCTGGGCAAAAAGGGGTGGGTCCCTGGTGAAGCCCCACCTTCAAGCCTGGGAAGGCCTGAAGCCTGGGGTCCAGGCTGCCAGTCCTGCAGACTGGAGTAGGAACTTATGGTGCCTTTTCTGGGCCTGCCCATGGCCAGCCATGGACCAATCAGCACACACTCCCCCTACTCTGAAGCCCATAAGAACCCTGGACTCAGCCAGACTCAGAGAGATGTGGGGATGACCAGCTGCAGAAAGGAGCAACCTCCTCCAGGGTCTCCTCTCTTTTGGGAGCTGAGCAGTCATCAGGACAACCAGCTGCAGAGAGAAGCTACCCACTCCAGGGTCTTGTAGCTCCTCTCTGCTGAGAACTGAACTTTAGTTGAGACACCCTGGCTGTGGAGAGGAGCTATCCACTGTGAATCGCCTCTGAGCTGTTCTATTGCTCAATAAGGCTCCTATTCAGCTTGCTCACCCTCCACTTGTCTGCATACCTCATTCTTCCTGAATGCAGGACAAGAACTTGGGACCTGCTGAATGGTGGGGCTGAAAGAGCTGTAACACAAACAGGGCTGAAACAAGCCCCTTGCTCACCACATTGTGGGTAACAAGAAGAGGAGAAGAGCTGAGGCCCTTTGGGGAACCCAGACCTGGGAGCTCCCTGAGCCATGACTGTGACACCCTTTTTGGGGCTCTGTGGTTCCTGATGTCTCCAAGCCTCCAGGAACCATTGCATTCCTCCGTGCCAGCAGTGGAAGCTGCTTGCGGGATGCCTGGTCCAGCTGCAGCCTCACAGGGAGCCAGCACCCATGCTGAAACCTGGAGCTGCCCTCATCACCACAGCAAGTGTTCCTTCCTGGCTGTGCACAGTTGCTGGACCCCATGCTTGCTTGCTCACATACCCCTCACCACTCTACTTGCCCTTTGGCAGGCATGGGATTCCATTAGCACGAGCTGAGCACAGCCTGCCAGGCCGAGTGGGAGCAGTGAGCCTGAGCAAAACTCTGGCAAAGGCACTAATGGTTTCTGGCTGGCAAAGCGACAGCCCAGGGAGCCCATAACAACATGTTGGATGTGCCTGGTATTGCCCAGACACACAGTAGGTGCTTGGGAAGCACTGGTTCTTTCAGAGGGTCTATCATCCTCATTTCCCTCATGGCCAAACCCACCAAGGTTTACAGTTACTGCTTCCTTCTAGTATCCATGGGACCCACATCTGTGCTTACAAAGTCCCCAGTGTATAATGGGGAGGTGTTTCTGGAAGCATTACTGGGAAAGGGTGAGTGAAGGCAGCTCCCCCTGCCTGGGTAGTCCTAGAATAGGAAGGGGGTGAGCAGTCAATACATTGCAGTGGAGAGGACTCTGGCCTGGGAGGAAGGAGGATAATCTACTTGCCCCAACCCTGCCACAGCACAATCAGTAAACCTTGCTCTGTTCTAAGCCTCAGTTTCTTTGCTTATTCAAGGAGGGGTTCTTCCAACTGAGCCCTTCCCTGTTTCTGTCGCTATCTCCTTCTCTCTCCCAGAAAGCCTCTCGTCTTGTCTTGACTCACAGAAGACATCACTTTCTTGAAGACTTGGCTCACTATGAGCCTCCTGGCGGCTCCTTCCTGGGGCACTGGGCCAAAATCCTGACAAGATTAAGAAGAGGTTTTGGAACTGGGCCACTCTAGGAAAACAGGAAAGATGACGAACGAAACTTCCCTCCCTCTGAGGGTTGTTTATTCCAGTGTTCCTTCAGTTGAGCTTTCTGGGTACACAGCAGCCCTTGGCTTTCCATCCCATGTGCAGCCTCTAGCCCAGCACCAGTGGCGATAGAGCTTATCACACAGACTTGCTCCAGTGTCCACTTGTTCAACTGCTCCAAACTCCTGGAAAGCAGAAAGAACACAGACATATCTCAACTGAGCGCCTACCATGTTCCATAGTAGGAACTGTCTTTGCATAAAAGCCCCTCTGCAGCTCCTTAAGGTAAGCTGTGTTCTTTCCATTTTGCAGCCATGAGAACTGAGGCTCAGGGAGGCTTCCCAAGGTCATCCAGCATGTTGGTGTTGGATCCAGAAATGGAGGGAGTTGGGAGGACATCTTATCAGTTAAGACAACATTCTTTGGAGGCTGCAGAACCTTTCTGAGTTTGAATTTCGACTGTCACTTACTGCCTGTGGAATCTGGACAAGTTCCTAGTGGGCAGCAGTTTTGGGTCACAGTGGGGGTCAAATGTCAGTTCCACCATCTGCTAGTTATGTGACCTTAGGCAAGTTCCTTTGCGTCTGTGCACTTCAGTTTCCACAGCTGTTCAACAGGATAATAATAGTGCCTGCCTCATCAACTTGTCATGTGTATTAAACGTGATAATCCATGTGGGGCATTTAGCACAGTGTCTGGCCCATGGTCCAGTGCCATCCAGGTCAGCTATGGTTTGAATGCAGGCCCCACTGACTCTGGCTACCACCTGTTTCCCTTCCTGTCACCTGACACCCTGGTGGCTCACTCAGCACTTGGTGTGTTGTAGGTGCTCCCGGGCTTACGACTGAAGGAGTGGTTGGGAATTGACTCAGTGTTTCTGAAAGCAGGCTTCTCACAATGTGTGGGAGAAGGATTCTGGAGGAAGATGATTTTCAGGAGTTTCCCAACCAACCAGCAAGTAATTGCTTTTTGCACGCTAGCATGAACTTAGACCAATTCCAATTGGTTTTTTCCTCTCTGAATGTAACCAATGCAATCAGAAGCATATCAATCCTAACACCTATAGAAGCAATCTATACTGATTGTGGACTGTTCAGATGCTACATAAAGACATAAAGCAGAGCGTTAATGTTCTAAGTAAACTGCTTCAAAAGGGTTGCCCACTGTTTATCCGAGGCTTGTCCTTCCAGAATTTTCCTAAGCCCTATACTTTTTTTTTTTTTTGAGACAGGGTCTCACTCTGTCCCCCAGGCTGGAGTGCAGTGGCATGTGATCTTGGCTCACTGCAACCTCTGTCTCTTGCTCAAGCAATCCTACTACCTCAGTCTCCTGAATAGCTGGGACCACAAGTACACACCATGACCCCTGGCTTTTTCTGTGTGTGTGTGTGTGTGTGTGTGTGTGTGTGTATAATTTTTTGTGTGTATGGAGGCAGAGTTTTGCCATGTTGCCCAGGCTGGTCTGGAGCTCTTGGGCTCCAGTGATCCTCCTGCCTCAACCTCCCAAAGTGCTGGAATGACAGGCGTGAGCTACCACACCTGGCCTCTATGCCTATGCCTCATTTTTCAGTGTCACTGTGTACCCCATTCTGTGTTAGACACTGCAGGTTCCCGAAGAAGTAGAGATGACTGTCTGTACCTTAGGGGCAGGCATGATTGGGGCAGGACCCAGAATTCACGGAACACTTAATCAGCAATTAAAATGTCCACAGTGCCAGTGACTCACTCTCTCAATACATACTTAACATTTGTGGCTTGGAGACCCGGAAATGACAAATCAAGGTCCCACCTGGCTTCAGAGTGAGCTCCAAGATTGAATCAGCAAGGAAACCCTTTGGTATACTTGCCCCCTGATTATGGACCTGTCAACCAAGCCTCAGTGGGAGGGCAGAACGGGTGATGTGTCCTCGCCGCCCAGAAAATTGCACTTTCCTGCCTTATTTACTATATGTAGAGGAGTGAACTAACTGAGGAGCCTGACAGGCTGGGCTTGCCACAGGTGGTTTCTATGACCTTGGGTGGGTCACTCCTTTCTCTGAGCCTCAGATTTCTCATTTGAAGCATGGGGAGGATCTTCCTGCCTTGAAAGGCACATTTCTCATTCATTCATTTGTAGAAGATGGTATTTCATAAGTGTGTGGAGGGATGACTCAATAAACATAGCTATCTAGAAGGAAAAAAGAAATTAGGTTATTTGGTATATTGTATTACTGTTCAGCAAATATTTACTTTCCCCAGCCCCCAGCAGCATGGCAGGAATATACTTCCTCACCCTGTTGATATTGCACTTGGCCATGTGACTTGCTTTGGCTATGAGAATATTGTAGAAGTGACAGGGGCCAGGTCCAAGGCATGAAGTGTTTCCATTCATCCTTTGGAGCAACCATCCTTAGCCATGAGAACCACAAGTCCCAGACCGGGAAGGCTCCTTCAGCCTGGACTCTGAATGAGAAGATATATGAGACAGCCACCTACTCACCCCATAGCCTGGAGCCCAGCCCAGTCAGCCCCAGAAAGCCCTGCAGAGCCCCAGTTTGACCCATAGACCCCAGGCAAGAAGTGAATGTTTACTGTTGTAAGCACCAGGTTTCTGGAAGTTGTCTTTCATGCAGCATTGTCACAGCAAAATCTGACCAATGCAGAGCCCTGGCTCACTCCTTATATTGACTTTAGCTTGGGTTTTGAGCAAGGATCTTTTCTTTTCTTTCTTTTTTTGAGACAGAGTCTTGCTCTGTCACCCAGGCTGGAGTGCAGTGGTGCGATCTTGGCTCACTGGTTCAAGTGATTCTCCTGCCTCAGCCTCCCGAGTAGCTGGAATCATGAGTGCCTGCCACCACACCTGGCTAATTTTTGTATTTTTACTAGAGACAGGGTTATACCGTGTTGGCTAGCCTGGTCTAGAACTCCTGACCTCAGGTGATCCACCCGCCTCTACCTCCCAAAGTGCTGGGATTATAGACTTGAGCCACCACATCCATCCAAGCTAGGATTTTCTAATTAGGTGATATCTGATCTGAGATCTGAATATTTAGGAGGAGCTAGTCATGTGGTCATCTGGGGGAGAAATGTGCCAGGCAACGGGAATAGCAATGCTGTGGTCCTGAGGCTGGAGGAAACTTGGCCTGTTCAGGAAAAGAAATAAGGCCAGTGTGAAAGAAATAGGGTTGTTTGGTAATTGAGAGGGAGGTAGTCTGAGCTCTAGACTCCTATGTTCAATAGGACACTTCAGGCCAGGTATAATGGCTCACACCTGTAATTATTTTATTTTTAATTGACACATAATGATTGTATTTATGGGAGTACAGTGTGATGTTTCAATACATATATACACTATGATGATCAAATCAACGTAATTAGCAAATTCGTCATCTCAAACATTTATCATTTCTTGGTGGTGAGAGCATTTTCAAATCCTCTTTTCTGCTATTGTGAGATGTACATTATTGTGAACCTCAGTCCCCCTATTGTGCAGTAGAGCACCAGACTTATTTTTCCTACCTAATTGTAACATAGTACCCATTGGCTAACCTCCCCTCCTCCTGCCTCTCCCAGCCCCTGCCTAGCCTCTAGTAATCTCTATTTTACCCTCTATTTCTATGAGATTTAAAACCAAAAAAATTGTTATTGTTTTGAGACAGGGTCTTTGACACCCAGGCTGGAGTGCAGTGCTGCAATCAGCTCACTACAGCCTTGAAATCCTGGCTCAGCCTCCTGAGTAGTTGAGAACCACAGGAATGCACCATCATGCTCAGATGAAAAATTTAAAATATTTTTAAATTTTTGGTAGAGATGGAGTCTTACTACGTTGTTCGGACAGGTCTTGAACTCCTGGGCTCAAGCAATCCTCGTTGCTTGGCCTTCTAAAGTATTGGGATTACAGGTGTGAGCCACTGTGCCAAGTGGAGATAAATTTTTTTAGATTCCGCAGATAAGTAAGAACATATAAAGTTAGTTTTTCTGTGTCTGGAGTATTTCACGTAACATAAAAGTCACCAGATTCACACATGTAGTCACAAATGAACAGGAATTAGTTCTTTTTTATGGCTGAATTGTATTCCATTGTGTACATGTGCTGCATTGTCTTCATCCATGCATTCACTGATGGACACTTAGGTCAGTTCCATATACTGGCTATTGTGAATAATGCCACAATAAATATGGGAACACAGATACCTCTTTGACAGACTGATTTCCTTTCCTTTCCTTTTCTTTTTTATTTTATTTTATTTTTGAGACAGAGTCTCACTCTGTTGTCCAGGCTGGAGTGCAGTGGCGCAATCTCGGCTCACTGCAACCTCTGCCTCCCAGCTTCAAGCGATTCTTCTGCCTCAGCCTCCTAAATAGCTGGGACTACCGGCATGTGCCACTAAGTCCAGCTAATTTTTTGTATTTTTAGTAGAGAAAAAGTTTGACCATGTTGGCCAGGCTGGTCTCAAATTCCTGATCTCAAGATCCGCCTGCCTCGGCCTCCCAAAGTGCTGGGATTACAGGCATGAACCACTGGGCCCAGCTCATTTCCTTTAGATATATACCTAGCAGTTGGATTCCTGGATCATATGGTAGTTCCATTTTTAATTTTGGGGGGAACCTTCATACTGTCTTCTATGATGGCTGTACTAATTTACATTC